GTTTTTTTGGTACCACAGCGTCTAATTCCGACATAGTCTTCCATCTTCACATTTTCATTTTCGGTTTAACGCTCTTTATGTGTGCATCCCAGTTCAGTTTGTGGTCAATATTGACTTCCAAGAAACTTAGTTTCTCCACCTTTTTAATTACTATATTATTTAGTGTCAGTTCTAAATTCATTGGTGTTTGTATCTGGTCATATCTTCAGTTCGGATTAAAAGTGGATTTATATACTACATTTCTTTATGTTGATTTGCAGCATGTTATCTCTTCATTAATGATGAACAAGTTTAAGAATTTATTAGCTTTGCAGTAAAGTGTTTTATAAATTTATCTACAACAAATATGTTTGGTGTTCATCGGCCAAATATGTATAAACTTACCTAGGTCTGTGACTCTGATATTTCATTCGCTGTAGATAATGAACATGGCAAGTGGACCATAATTACTGGACCTGAGGAACACAAATATTACAGACAGGTTTTTGGATTCTTCTCAAGTACTGAAACTTTTTGCTGTCTATAGAAAGGTAACTGGCTATCACAATTTATTTGCAGTCCTCCGAATTCCATTAATCATTCAGTTTTTTAAGCAGTTTATCATGACAGATTGTGTCATAAGCTTTACTTAAATCAATGAAGATGGCCTAGTACGTGATTTTTATTTCTTAAAGATTTTTCAATGTAGTCGCGACAGAGACGTTGAGTGGCATGGCTTGTCGTTTGATTTTTTCTAAAAAGCCATATTTAGATTTTCATATAATAATCTTGCGACTGAAAGAAACTGTTTAAAGCCTGGAGAAATGATTTTTTCAAGTTAATTTTACGAATATGCTTAAGGTTGAGATAGGCCTGTAATTTCAAGATATGCTCAGCATTTTCTTTCTTTATACTTGGACTTATTTTAAACTACGTTTAGGTCGTCTGGAAAAAAGTCCCTGTTGCATTACATTCGTTGTTACAATACCGATAGTAAGTGGCTTTAATTTTGCCTGGTACTGCCTTTTACTATATGTATGGTATGTCGCTAGCCTTGCATCTAAGTTCCGATAGATCTTAGCACCTACTCAGGTGAGCAGTCATGTAGTTTTAGTAGCTGTATTCGATTTAGGTAGAAGTCACAGAAACTTGGACAGCGGATTTATTTGTATCTCTCTAGTTCTGTGTAGCTGCATTACGTTAGATGCTAGGGATACAAAATACTTACATTGAACTTCATTAGATTTAACTCTGCGATCAGTTATCTTTTCATGCTATGGTTAAATTATAGGTCTGATATCACGTTCTGTTGCCACGCATTTTATTTTCAGTGCCACAGGTTTTCTTGGAATTTCCCTGAGTTTCAAGAAACTTGTCAGAATATTATTCAGATACAGCTTTTTTACGAACCTTTTTTCTAGAGCCTTTCTATATTCTTTGTAGTATCATAACGGTTTCTTTTTTACAGCAGATAGAACACAGGCATGTGCCCCCTTTTGTGTCAGTTTCGCTGGTTTACCATAAATTTCTGACTTTCGCCCTCATCATCATACAGCCCATGGCAGTGGTTTTATGAGGCTTAATCCCGCCAGTTAATCCATGGGTTGTTATGGATGTGCGCATAGTGGTTTGGGTAAAGTAGTTTGCAGGTTTCGACAATGCTGTTTTTAATGATATTTGAAAGTTAGTAAAATTATAATTGGTCAATTGTCTAGTTTGTTACCCAGACCTTCAGCAAATTTATCAGAGTTGATATCAATTGTCATAATATTGAGTGTGCTTGTGAATATTTTTTGGTTTCTGCTTAATTCCCAGGCAAATATTGTAAATATTAGGGAGGTGATGAGATATGGATCAGTTATGACTCCAGAGCAGTCACAGAAGTCTAGGTCTTTGTAATGATTGTGTTGTCCGTTGACACGTAGGCATTACATCCAGGCTTTCATGAGTTGCTATTGATATCAATGGAAAGAAGCCTTTAACTAAATAGGGACTTCTTCATATGTGCAATAATGCTACTGTGGTTACTATGGAGATTTATGTTAAAATCACCGCAATGTGTGTATGTTTTGGTTGCTTTGATCAAAGTTATGACGACAGTTCTTGGAGGAGCTTGCTCAGCATTGCCTTGGAGGGCGGTATATTACTCCTATAGAAGGAGAATTTCCTAGACTACTATAGTTACAAAGGTGGGTTTCTAGATTTTCTGTTACTTGTGAAAGGTTGTTACTTTTTGACAGATTTGAAGGTGTTCGGGGATATTAGAGTACTCCTGAGGCCTTTACTTTCGAGTCGAAGGTATCTAGATAGAAGCTTCTCATTAGCCTGTGAGTTCGTACAAGTTTTCATTTCAGGGCTAATTCGTTTCAGCAAGACCAATTACAGAGAATTTGTTAGTAAACTAGCTATTTCAATTGCCAAGCGAGTCAAAGTTTGATTTTGTTGCCATCAAGATTTTGAAATATAGTGGAGTTTTGCACTTGTAATTCGTTAGACAATGGTGCGGTTTATGTATTTTTACAGCATATGAGTCACAGCTTTCAAGTACGCAGAAGATTTTACGTTATTACATCTCTGCATCAGTGTCGTCATCATTGTCATCATTCAGAAGCTTAAATGGTTCTAAACGGTTTACTGCTAGGTGGATACAATTATTGCAGTACAAGTCAACTTTTTATTTGTTTGTCACTGGTGTTAAAACATCTAGTGTGAAATGGGGACAATTACTGTGGTAGCATTCAATTATTAGATTGAACCTAAGTAAATACTCTTGTAAAACTTGGCACAGACCTCTTTTTTAGACATTCTTGTGGAGGTTGATAGCCTTAACATGTGGCTGTTCTCCGGCGGCATGAGAATAAGTGTTGAAACTCTACCGTACCGTCCTCCTCCCCCTCTTCCTCTATCAGTCCTCCATGCATCCTAACAAGGACAGTATTACGGATTAAGTAGCAAGTTTGGCCACTCCTTCCATTGAGGTGCTGGGAATCGTTCGGCCATATCTGTCTAAACTTCTGGACAAAGGTTAGGAGCAAAGTAAGCAGTGTTAATTGTCAAGGGAAGTCATCAAAGCAATCATCGAACTGGACACAAAGTTTTTTTTGGGGAGTAGCTCACAGACGATTAAGTTCTATTAGTAAAGACTTTCCTATTTAAATCAGCATTTGGAGTGGTAAAAGAGGACAAAGAAATACTTGGGCAGTTGGTTTGGCCTCTGAATTTGCTCATCTTGAATCTAGATGGGGCTAAATTTAGCATAAAATTTCACGCTGAGATTTAACAGATGGTCTTCTAACATCATTTATTCCAAAAATAATAAACATTGTTCTTGTATCCACATTGCAAGATATGGGTTAATGTCATCTATGTAGGAGTCCCAAACATTCCGACAGGCAGCCTCACTTACCAAAGGCTCCTTTTGTGATCTCTCCAATATTTCATACCTGCTCCATTTGAATCAGAGAAGATACAAGAAATGGCACGATTTTCATCTATTGATCTGAACGGTGAAACTATATCGTACGGCACCAGGGAGGTCCCCTTTCTGGTTTGAGTGCTTGTAGTGAGCCTGACTCCTTCTGGTCATCCTGTTAAATGAATATTGGAAGTACACTGTGCGTGGGAACTGGGTTGTTCATTTCAGTGAAAGAGGACTTTGCATTCTACTCCAATGGAAGAGTCATCAATATGATAGACTCTGGTTGTATACCTGTTCATTGTCTGAATGTCAGGCAGATAAACTCGCTTCTTCATAGCGGTTGATCTCAACACGCTGTTCATTTCAGGGTTTCCTCGCACAGAATTTCCTCATGGATTTTCAGGAAAGGGTTAGCATAATTGTATCAGGGTCTCCACGGTTTTCTTATTCTCATCTCTGGATCCGCTATTCTGTACCTCTCTCAAAAGAACATCTGAATGCCCTTCTCTGGACTGAATGAAAGAGATTCGCAGTATTGGAGAAGGTTCTGTTTTCTGCATCACTGTCGATGAATTCTTTCCACGTGTCTACCACAGGGTTTTTTCCTCATTGTTTTTGATTGAAATAATTTTCTCTTTTTTCTATAAATTTATTAACTGCGTGCAAATTTGTGTTTCAGATTTGATCTATTTATGATATATATTTATAATTATGTAATAAAGTTATTAATATTATATTCGTAAACATTGGCTGGCTTACAAACCAGTCCCCAAACAAACAAACAATCCTAACTCCTAAGACAGCTTGTGGCTTTCCACCAAGGAATCTACAGCGTCTGCACAGTCCACTGTCTACATCCAATTAACATTATAACGTACGTTGTACGGTTGTACCGCGTAAGCACTTAAATGGCTACAATTTCGACTAGAATACCAGACAGGAAACATCTTCCAACCTGAGCGCTTTCGCCAAACCTTTTATTTGTTGATTTCAGCACATCTATTTCCATGGTGTTGCTATGACAACGGGAACGCGCAGTATTATTATTTCTCTGTACGCATGAAATTACTGATATCTCAGCTATTTTTGGGCTGTTTGCTTCAAATATAGATAGTGCTTCGTTAAATTCTAAGGACTCTCGACATCCCGGGTCTTAAATGTTTCGAGACATTGTCCTCAGTGAAAAGCTATATGAAATAAGCTGTATTTAAACGTTCACTGCCAACTTTGTTGTTTGATGTGATTTCGCCGCGCCAAAAAGGCAAAAACTTCTCCGGCACAGGTCAACCCAATTCCGTTTCTTAGCTTTAAATCTTTGTTCAACCATCAACATAAGAGTCCTGTTAAACATGTTTCAGACTGTACGTTTATGAAACGAAATGAGATACCATAGCACAAATCGATACAATGAATGGCTGAAAAAACATGGTATATGATACTGGATTTCACTCTGCTAGCTGTAAATTATTTTAAACCCTTTAGAAGAAATTGGGAGATGGAAAAATCTGACAAGGCAATTTGATAGTCCCATTTTATCCTTGATTATATTACATTATTTTATACCCCATATTTGGATTGATTTCATGGTCTCTCTCAAAGGTAAGGATATGAAGCTTTAGCACTTGATGGTATGCTGAACAATCTCAACACAGTTGTGGGGCTGGAGGTGCTGTGGTATCCAGATGCACAGAGAACGTGGAGGGAAGACAATTTTATAGGTCAGTTTTATTTGTAGGTCACGTGTTTATACATCACGTGGTTTTAATATCACGAGGTTACGGGTTATAGTGCCATCTACAGCTATTAACGTATTTTAACTTTGAAAGGAACTCAGATTATGGTAGTTCAGTCCCGTCGAATTTTGATCTGGATAAAATAGTCGCCCATGCTTGCTGCCTATTTCTACTAACTCACAAAATAGTTCTGTTTATATGGGTGCCAGCACGTGTCTCACTTCCTCTCCACTTCAGGGCAGAACAGTGTACCGGGTGTGGTAAGGTACGTTGGAAAGGTAGCTGGAAGAGAGGGTGTGTGGGCAGGAGTGCAGCTCGATAAGCCAGGTTATTATTGTCACGTGATCCTTATTTTTTGGTTAAGCCGTGCTTATTGTTTATTTCAATTTTTGATCATCATACTTCGCGGCTGCTATTTTCCTTACGGAATCCTTCCTATACAATTATGGTCTGCTTGGCTAAATTTTAGCTTCATTGCAGAAAACATAAAACCTTTTTATCGAAGGGAAATCCTATCTATCATGCTGCAAAAACACACTTCTAAGTTGTAATCCTACCATGTTGTTTCAGAGGGAAATCACAGCGGGCTATACAGAGGTACCCAATACTTCACCTGCTCAAAGAAATGTGGCATTTTCACTGAAACTCACCGACTCGTTAAAGTCTGCCATCCCAGAAGGTTCGTAATTCGTATATCACGTGACATATCATGTGTCATTAATAGTAATACGCTGGTTTTATTTTTAAGTTATAGTTTTATAGTTAATCAGAACGAAAGAAAACTGGCTGTGTGATATTTAGAGTAAAATCTGTTGTTATTACTGAGAAAACAAATTTCTCGCAACTTTAAACTTCAACAGAGTTTGTACATAGAACTTCTCACATTATCATCAATAATGAAACTCTGAAAGTCTTAATCATGATATAATTGCTAAACGAAATAACAAATATATACTTGACTACCATTAATCTGTCAACATATTTAATTAATTTAAAATAATTGGTAATTCAGGAGCAAAGATGTCTACAGAAACGGGGGGAAATCAAGTGTGGACGACAATTTATTCGTAAAAGGTAGGGATTCAGTCTTTTCTTCTGTAACAATTATCAACAAAGCAACATTAAGTTGAAGATGTTTAGCGATAAGCTCTCATCGTATATTTGTTAGAACTTGTTCTGTTACTTAGACAAGAAATTCGTAAGGAGCTGGAGCGTGGTCACTGGTCACTGTGACTACAAAGTGTAAGGAGCTGGAGTGTTGTCACTGTGACTACAAAGTGTAAGGAGCTGGAGTGTTGTCACTGTGACTGCAAAGCGTAAGGAGCTGGAGCGTGGTCACTGTGACTACAAAGTGTAAGGAGCTGGAGTGTTGTCACTGTGACTACAAAGCATAAGGAGCTGGAGTGTTGTCACTGTGACTGCAAAGCGTAAGGAGCTGGAGTGTTGTCACTGTGACTACAAAGCATAAGGAGCTGGAGTGTTGTCACTGTGACTACAAAGTGTAAGGAGCTGGAGTGTTGTCACTGTGACTACAAAGCATAAGGAGCTATTGTGTTGTCACTGTGACTACAAAGTGTAAGGAGCTGGAGTGTTGTCACTGTGACTACAAAGCATAAGGAGCTGGAGTGTTGTCACTGTGACTACAAAGTGTAAGGAGCTGGAGTGTGACCACTGTGACTACAAAGCGTAAGGAGCAGGAGTGTGACTATCGTCTTTGTTCCACTCGTATTGAATAACCTCCTTACCTTCCTCCACATCCTCATCTGAATCATCTTCTTCCTCCTCCTGAAATTATGGTCATGTGACACGTGACGTCATAATATGGAGTCGATCACATATTACGTAATCAGCCGAGGGGGAGGGGGGTTTCCGCTAGTTAATAGTGTAATACTAATAGTGTAATATAGTGTAATTTTGACACAATAGCTATGTGTAAAACTGATTTTGGACGGGGGGGGGGGGGGGGGTAATAATGAACGGGAACTTATAGTTCCGCTGATAGCCTATCTCAATACGTGACAAGATGGACACACTCCACTACCCTTGACTGACAGTGGCTATGATAATTATAACCTGTAACAACTGGACTGTTTGCAACTCAAACCTGTAACGAACTCCATTGTTAAGGTGCTCTATAATCACTTCTCCGTGATTATCAGTAATTGTCGGTAATTATCATTATTATAGTAAACGATATTATTGTTTGTTCGATGTAAAAGTTTTGCTCGAAATTGACTGTTATAAATATAAACTCTTCGTATGTACACGTTAATTAAACCTATACAGGGGACCAAAAGTCAAGTATACATGATACGCTGGCCTCTAACAAAGTTATACACAGTATGTACTGTAATGTATTGCATCATGTGACGTCATTCTCACAGCACGTGACGTCATCTTCACAGCACGTGACGTCATCTTCACAGCACGTGACGTCATCCATACAGCACGTGACGTCATCTTCACAGCACGTGACTCACCTCTTTAATAGCGTTAGGGTTCTCGTCAGGGTTCTGGAAGTTAGAGTAGGGGTTGTTCCCCATCTGTGACATTATAACATCCTCCGCTGTTACCTCCTTATCCGCGTCATCCCTACAGCATCCTACTCTCCCACAACACCCACAGCAGCAGAACGTCACTCTGAGATTGTGACGTCATTACACGTGGTGTGACGTCATTTCACGTGGTGTGACGTCATTACACGTGGTGTGACGTCATTAAAAGTGGCGTAACATTAATATTACTCTTGGTGTGACATTATGACGCTATAACTTTAATGTGAAAGTGGTAACTTTAATGTGAAAGTGGTGATGATTACAGCTGGATTCACATTAATTGAGAAACGGTTAAAAGTAAAATTTGTAAAACCATGGCATCTAAAGAAGTTGAAAGAGAGATTTATAGTTAAGAAGCGTGTAAATTACTCACGAAGCAGCAGCTGCAATAACAAACACCGTTACGATAACATAGATCCACCACGACACAGCTGGAAGACCAGCCTCCGCCGCTACTGAACTGATAAGAGTACTAAGTAAACTGATAAGAGATAAGACACTGCTCATTTTCACTGATAACAGATCGGTTGATAGGAGATTTTGTCTGAGATATGTTTAGAGATACTACTCCTTGCTAGTCCGAACTTTGTAGAAAGAGGGTCAAGACAATAGAGATAATAGAGGGTTAAGACTCTCTAAATAACAGCTCTTAGTTCTGTAAGAAAACTTAATGTTCCTTATGATCACTCTTCAAGGTGTTCACATAAATTCTGAGCTGGAACAGTATCACCCACCCTTTGAATAACGAATTGACCAATCTGATGGGTAATGTTTCTGATAGTTTCTAAAATGAACTGATTCTGATTTTCCTCTCTCTCTCGGCCCTGCAAACACAAAACAACTTCCGAATAACACGTACCTTTTTGCCTCTTACACAGCTGTATAACGTGTGATCTGCTGCAATAAACACTGCAAATTATCTGTGTATTATAATAGAAGTGTTGGTATGTTGTGTATACAGTAGGTTTGTTGCCGGCCTTGCACCTGGTTGCTTACACTTGAATATGGTTCTTTACATCAGCCCTGGAAGGACCAAGATTTGAGTTTCAAATTCTCAATTATTGTAGAATGGGTAAATATTGAAATATTAGTTTTAATGTTTCTTTGTGGATAATTGTTGAATGGGTAAATATTGAAATATTAGTTTTAACGTTACTTTGTGAAAAAAAAATCTTCAACTCAAATGAAAACAGAGAAAAAGAGACGTCAGCTTATTTAGCGGAACTGAACGAAAATCAATTTTCCTTTTCCTGCGAATAACGAATATATTTATAGATTAAATACAACTTCACATGGTTTATTTCAGATGGTAGATCTTACAATACTTGTTCAGTGTTCCTTGCTGTAACACAGCGGTTAGAACGAAAGTAAATGAACATGATAATCTGAATGAAGCATCAAGCTATTATTATATAGTAATATATATAATATATATAATGGCCACAATCCATAAAAATAGGTACCTTTTTCACTAATTTGTTACAATGAAGAACACAATACGACAGTGAACACAATACGACAGTGAACACTACTACACAACATAACAATCGTACAAAACAGAGTTACCGTTTACATTTAGCACTGTATTTGAATGTTCAATGTATAAAAAATCTTCACAAGCTGAAACTAAAACACAAGGAAAAATGTTTAACAGACGTTTAACAAAGTGGTGCTGACAAAATTTAAACGAATATTACTTCTGATATCAGAGAACAATTTTGTTCACAGAGAACTTCACAAGGATATTAGATATGTTTACAGACAATGCCACCACAATAGTGCATGGGGCCGTTCCGGGTGCTGTGTCACTGTAATGTATAGTGGGGGGGGGGGGCAATGGCATAAAATTGAGATTCTTTATCCATTTTATGCCTTTGTTCCCCCTTCCTGCCCTCCTCGTTTAGTGTACCGAACAAAGGGACAATGTATACCTCTTTATCATACATGTTGAACATTAATGCTAAACGTCGACAAATATACTGAAATACGAATAAAAATAATCCCTCGCTAGGACACTGGACTCTTAACAGGAACATGCCACACTGTGTAGATCAGCACGTTACAACAGAGAATAAACCTCATCTGACTAATCTTGCGAAAACTTAAAGTTTTGTGTGCTGCATCGGCCAGATAACATAAACATAACTCAACTCATCACAATTTAAGCACAATAAGACAAGTCTCCATCCTCTTCAAAAATGTACGTCCGTAGCAAAACAACACAAATTGTAAAACTAAATCTACACTCATAACACTGCTTTGTCTTCGGAACAATGCATCAGTTAAGTAATAAACCTGGTATAAACTAACTAAGGGAAACTGATAAACTTTTTGTAGCTGCCATACGGGTAAACCGCCCCTAAAAATGTCTCCCACCCCTAAAACGCCACTCTTGAATTGATTGGATCCCATCGTCTTATAAAAGTATCTTAACCTAAACATTTGTAACTCCTAAACATAAAAAAATATCATTCAACCCTGCCACATCCTGAAATTGAATCAAATGAATGCATAAGGCATTTTTTTCACTTTGTAACGAATTTTTTTTACTTTGAAAAAAAGCGCACAATTTATAACTCTGGAAATTCTTAATATTAACTCGTTTTGGTCTAGGTAAGTGGATATTTACATATTTTAGCAATTTGCACATATACTGGAGATATGGAAAGTTATACATTACTCAAATTACTACCCTCCCCTAAAATGTCACCTGGCCGCCCCCTAAAATGTCAATTAATCATATTCCTGGCTTTGAGACTACAAGCACCATAAAATGGAGGTACCCCAGCCTAATGTAACCTCATATTTTAGCCTCTATGGTAATATTAGTAAAAGCTTTGCAGCACAAGGAATTTGTTTATATTTTTATTAATACAATAAACATCCCTAAAATGTCTAATTAACCCCCTAAAATCAATCATACTCCACATTCGTTAATATTTGAGTAATAATTAACAAGTGCCAAAACAAGCTATTATCGCACACCATGCGAACAAAATACAAATTTACATTTAGGGGAGAAAAAAAATGACATTTTAGGGGCATATCATAGTTTACCATAAAATAGTAAGTACCAAAAAACGTAGTTTTTGACATTCATTTTGCTAAAAGCATCAAATCTATCTATAGAAGAAGGGTCAGATCGATGTACTGGTACTGGATTTAGTTAACTACAGGTCACTAAATTGGCCAAAATGCAGGATGATGTTAAAAATCCCAAAAAAGCATAAACATGCAATTTGCACAAGGTTAAAATCACAATTGAAATTCCATTTCTTTTGTGCCACTTGTTAGTATATAACTAGATAATCTAACTACAGGTTGTAAATTTTGTTGACGAATTACTGTTTGGCCGTAAAGTTTCTGGGTATTCAAAAAAAAGTCCCCCAAATGTCACTAAAGTACAATTGACTAATTCCCACCATTTTTTTTCAACAGAGAGAGAAATTCTTGTCGACACCTCTCAGAAATAGGTTATATTGTTCCCAAGAATAAAGTGGTTAAAATTAATAATTGATCAAAATTCTGAGTGCTACCCACAACCTGTTTTAGCTACGTTTTAGGGGTGGTGCACGAGACATTTAGGGGGTGATTACGGTTTTTTTGATGTACTTTTCTTTATTGAGTAAATGTTTTCAAGTACATAATGTTTTAAAATAAGACAAAACAAATAGTACTGTGATAAAAGAAAATCAGGCCCCTGTACATTTTGTAATTAATCACACATATATAGTTGTCAATTTAAGAGTGGTGTTTAAAGTACCTTATTTCAACGTCAAAAAAATTGTAGCCCCTGATTTTATTTTCAATTTCTAAACTTCCGTGCAGCTAGAAAAAGTTTAAATTTATTCCTAGACACTTCGAACCCTGTAAATTTTAGTCCTAACTCGTCAATCTGGGGCTCAAAAACAGGTGACGTTTTAGGGGCGGTTTACCCGTAATTAATATGTACCATTTCGTGCATTTGTTGTGTTGAAAATACTGGGAAATACCAGTTTAACTAACGCTATATTCCCTATATTTATGTATTTAACTATTTAACTACTATTCAACTATTTAAGTAACTTAACGCTAAGGTTGTCAACATTTAAAATTGTAAAATGTATAATATATATTATTTAAGGATGCGAGAACCCGAATGGCAACCGCATTTAGAAGAAGGGTCCTCACGAAATCATGTGGATGGAAAATTTAGTTTACTGATTATTCACCTGCCAAGATTTTACGAAATCAGTAGTGAATTAGGATGACTGGTAGCAAATTATGGGCATTATTTGTAAAATATTAAAGCTTGTTAATAATGATAATTATACTGGTTACAATACAATAAGTGCAACTGAATAGTTGTTTAACATGCCCGAAATCATGTTACAAATCATAGAAATAATGAATAAGCCAATCAAGTTTGGGTGCCCATCTTATTTTACAGATGGGGCAATATTTTTAATGATTTTATTCTATATATTCATTTATTGCTGTACTCTGTAAAATTTGAAAAGTATTTAATTAAAAAACATCATTGACAGCTAACCAAGTCATACTCATGTAGATAAAATTGTTGATCGGTTTATTCTTATGTCTCTCATATATTGTCTTTAAAAAAGGAGCAATACTACGGGACATGAATAAGATAAAACATTTGGCATTAGGCTGACCAGTCACTGAATGACCAGTCACTGAATATGACCAGTCACTGAATGACCAGCCTCTGAATGACCAGCCACTGAATGCCTACAGTCACTGACTAAGAACCACCACTGAATATGACCAGTCACTGAATGACCAGTCACTGAATATGACCAGTCACTGAATGACCAGCCACTGAATGACCAGTCACTGAATATGACCAGTCACTGAACGATGAGAAACTGAAAGATGAGTGACTGAACGATGAGTGACTGAAAGATGAGTGACTGAACGATGAGTGACTGAAAGATGAGTGACTGAAAGATGAGTAACAGTGCATGTTCATTGTTTAATGTATGGCGTTTGTGTGTGCTGGCTTGTGCCCGCAAGGTGCATGGGTCGACTTGATGAATATTCGCATTTAAATAATTAAAACAGTGTAACGTATATAATGAACTTGCATGTTTAGTCAAATGCACCACGACTAAGTTAATTATTTATAAAGATATACATCCCAATGTAGAAATAGAAATATAATACTAAGAGGTGAGTGTTTAGCATACCTTCGAAAAAGTTAGAAAAAGTTTCCAATTCACGTTCTCATATAAAATTATCGCCACTTTAGATCTTATAAATAAGTAAGTAACAAAACAGTTGGCAAAGAGTAACAATAGTAGACAAACAACCCCTTCATAAGTCCTGCAGCGTATATAACAAGTCCTCGTTAATCACGAGTCTGTAAGAGTAATTGAGGGGCTGCTCGGCGGGGACAGGGCCCACATGCGCAATTAGAACAGACCTCCTTCTCCTGACTCATTATTTCCAGTAATTGTCCGTGTCACGTGGTGTGAAGTTGTGTCACGTGGTGTGATGCTGTGTCACGTCCTATGACGTCATGTCACGTGGTGTGACGTCATATGACGTCATGTCACGTCCTATGACGTCATGTCACGTGGTATAACGCTTCATCACGTGGACAGGCAGAACGCCAGATGAGAACCTTAACTAAACAATTACAAATTACAGCGCTATTTGAACTGAGTTATATTGTTCAAATAATAAGGCACGACTTATAACTTATAACTTATTATCTGTACACAATGCCACCCTAGGTTACCTATATAATAACTTATTAATTGTACATTGTAGTTAACCCATATAATAGCAATATGATACAGACCGGGTATACTGCACTATACACCAAGGTAATTATTCTATTGACATTCTAATAGACTAGTGACGTGTCCACTGTCACAATAGTGTCAAGATGCATTTCAAGTCGTGATCGGTAGGTCCTACATCATACTACATTACTACAGTAAAACCCTGATTTACCGCGGAATTTGGGGGAAAGGAAACGTCCACGGTAAATCAGGGTTTGCGGGTTTGCCATAAATCGGGGTTTTGTTTGTTTACATTATTCATGTTAACTGTTAAGCCTTATAATTTGGGGGAAAGTAGATGGCCGCGGTAAATCGTGGTTTTACTGTACAATTCAAAACGGGGCGAGACTAAGGATGTCAGAATGAATAGAGTTGTGCGAATGGGTTTCAACATTAGTGCTTCTATTTAGAAAATTAGGACTAATCCTAAACTGATCCAGTTTTCTAGCTCTAGGGCCCCAAATCAGTGCATTATTTAAACGATATTTTTCTTATACATTACAGAACTTTTTTCAAAACGTACGAAATTCACGGTTTTCCCGAAATTTAGGCCCATATTTCGGACCGCCAAAATTTCGTTCGTCGTAATAGAATCCGTTTGCATTAATTCCAATAATGTGGCTTCTTCGATCATTTTTTGTTTCTTGAAAAGTTAGTGAATATGATGGTGGACAAATAAACACAATATTTCCATGATAAATTTAATGTCAAGTAATACCTTTTAAATTTACAATAAATTAACATTTTATGTGCTAACATAAACGACTATAAGAACTTAGTCAAGATAAACAATTTAATACCAATCTCAATAAGTAAACTGAAAGAGTCGAGCCGACCCCCTAGAGGAGATGAAGAAATCGATTTATAAGTTTTCAATTTGTGTTCAACATGATTTTACCGATTTTTAAGAAAAATTTGAATTTCCCTTTGTGTCAGAGAAACAAAATGATGAAAAATACCCTTATTTCTGTGACGTCCGAAATGTGACGGGTTTTGTTCATTTCGCCCTATTTTCGACCGCCAAAATTCGTCGTCGCAAATTGGTCCGCCACAAAACAGTCTTGTAAGGTACTCTTTAAACGGTTACCAAAATTGTAATTAGCTTGAAACATGTTTTTCATTTGTTGATTTATATAATATAGAAGTTATTAGTGAAAGGTAATACCCGCTAATAAAAGTAAGCCGCCTTGTTCCATCGAGATAAAGGGTAAGCACAATAAATTCGGTTTAATAACACTAACAGATGAACGTACGACAGGATTTTACCAACTTAATGAACTTGGCAAGGGATGTACTAGGATGAAGGAGTTTATTCACTATGAGTATTGAGTATGAGATATATTGAACGGCGGAGGAGCACTTTTTATGTGCTCTTTCGTTTATAATATATGTTATTAATATAGGACAAGGTGTAGAATAATGCAGTCGGGGACCACAGCATAACATGTGCGATACAAATTGGAATATGATTGGAATATCAAATCTAGTTCTGCAGAAGAGAAGGCTCCTCAAAAAAAAAACGTTTGACAACCCAGCACCATATGAACATATTAGAAGTCAACTCCGCTCTCTCTCTCTGTCGACTTAAAACTCTAATATTTAGAATAACCTTAACGGCGCGCGGGTGTAACTAGCCGAATCATTTAGGACCTGCAGATGAGTAGGGATCTGCATTTAGAGTCACCCAGGTGTTGATCAGTAATATCAGATGTCAGTTAGACAGACTCTAAGTTAGCTGTACAGAGAATACCGAGCTCTTTATACTCTTCCAAAATACCTCTAAAATATCTCCCAAATACCTCCTAGTCCTACTTCAGATTTTAGTTTTAAGTATTTTAAGTTCCCTAAGGCAACTCAGGTTGTGTCGCAATAGAGGCCCTAATTCTACAACGTATTCTAATCTTACAGATTAGACGTCAGCTATAAATTATACTTTTACGGCTTTATTGCTATTTTCAAGAGTGGTACATGAAGAAAAAGACAACGACTGACAGATTTAACAGTGCTAATCTTACTGGGCGGCGCTCAGTCATTCCGCCGAATCTTTATTTACATATGAACATAATAGCCTGGGGTCCCCAGGTAATGCTAATCTGAAAACTATCATAACTCAACTGCTCCAAGAAGAGTTGTAAGTCTGAAGACTGATGACATTAAAAGAGACTGATACAACTGTGCTACAGGTGAGATCTCAGAGGTTAACAACTCCAACCTAGAATTAACAACTCTAACCTAGAATTAACAACTCCAACCTAGAATTAGCAACTCTAACCTAGAATTAACAACTCCAACCTAGAATTAACAACTCCAACCTAGAATTAACAACTCCAACCTAGACGGAATGAACATTAGTTTATTATGTAGACTAGCGACCCAGTGCGAACATGGGTCTGACTGATCGGTACACCACACGTTTTGAGAGTGAGACAGATCTCTCTGTCACCACATAGATTTACGGGGGGTGACCATCAGATATTGGCTAGTTTCTATACAGTGGTTATGGTGGAAATAGCGGGTTAGTAGCCAAATCAAGTTTATCATCACTTAGTCTTAGTCTTACTAGTCTTACTTAGTCTCACTTAGTCTTACTAGTCTTACTAATCTCACTTAGTCTTAACAGGACGTCTCTTGTCTACTGTTTGGTTGATGATTGTCAGGGTGAATGCTGTGTAGTATATTCAGTCTATCAACTTTACTCTCGGATGTTTATACAGTGGACGAAGTGACATGTTCTTTAATAAACTTGAAATCGATACAAAATTATCTATCACTATCAGTTTTGGACTGGAAGCCGAAATCTTTAGTTGGTTTCTAGTTATTCACTTGTCACTGTGCTGTCTCATTCTAATCTCTGGAGTGATTGCATAGCTTGAAGTTTCCTCCAAAACACAAATTCATCTACAAAAGCTTGAATTTAGATAAAATCAAAACAGCGATACGGATAAATGATTAGAATTATTTAGAGATGAAACATCAAATAATTTTGCCCTAATTCACAATCACAAATTAAACCGCTAACTATAATTTCAGATATTAGAGCACAGCCTCCTGTTCCTTCTGTGGACCCGATGTTCGTGAAAAAGTGCAAAAACGGATTAACAGGTGAGGGATTTGTTTCAGTGTAACGTTGTAACGTTGTAACAGTGTGGGCCTATGGTGAGCAGTGTTTTTATCTCACTTTCTTGGGTTTGCCGACTGTAATGATAATACTTTTCCTCACCGTAATAATATTATTAAGCATTATTTTATCCCTCAGGATACCCCGACTGGACAGTGAAGAACCATCATCGTCCACAAATACTAGCCAGAGAGAAGAGACTATCATAACATCTATACTTTAAGTTTAATTTTAGTGTTTAGAATTTTGAGGCAATGTAAATGTTTAACTAGACGGCAAGGCCCACAACTCAATTCCATAACTTCTCACTTTTTTCATCAAGGTGAAAATATGGAACGACCCGGCACTGGTAGACCAATATGACGGTGACCAAGCTGAGCTTGCGTTCATAATATGCAATGTTTCTATGTTCTAATAAAATTGACAATTATTGAGAATGAGATCATAATTCATATTCATTGTACTTATTAATATTATTGACATTGTGCTGTCATTATTTGCATACGGATAGATGCACTTTTAGTTTTCAATTATTCTGTTATTTTTTGTATAATAATTTGACTACATGTAGGTAGTGCGCCATCGACAGTGAGCCGCGCGTGCCGACTGTAGGATGGTTTTTTAGCGCTATTTTCGGCCATCACAATTTTCTTCAAACAAATAGATATTGAGTATCCTTCCCGACCTCCAATTGCAACAAAAATTGGTAAGCTTACTCATAGACTTACAAGGACAGTGTCCGAAAAATTTAAAGCATATCCAACCATCAGAAATTATGTTACAGCTAAAAGTAGCGTATTTTGCCCCATTTTGATCACTATATCAACTCCGATATCCACCAAATTTTTCGGACAGTTGTGAAAGCCCTATTGGAAGGTCGTCGCCAATTTCCAGAATGATCTCATTCAAGGAACTGAAGATATATCCGAATAATACGACAAAATACGACAAAAATCAACGAATTTGGTCAAATTACGCGAGTTTTACAGTTAATTTTGCTCCAAAAGCCGCGCACCATCAAATATGGCACCTAGGCAAAACTCACTAATCTTTCCAAAAAGGTATGACAAATTTGGTATTGTGAAAATTCTCACAGTCTCTAGAAAACAGTAGTACAAAAATTTTTAAAATCCGAGCAAGTTTATTTTTATCGTGCACCTCCTACTACATGGTCGCCTTCATTCATGATACATGGAGTGCGTACGTATATTATCAGACATGATGATTCTTGGGAACACTTGCACTTAATTCGCCAAAATTCAATTGTGAAACTCGCACAGATTGATTCACGATGTCAATCCTTCGCATCTCGTCGATCTGCATACGTGTGGTTGCGAGAAGATGCGCGGCGCAGTAGTGCATAGCGCAACAATCGCACAAATTACTCGTTGTGTTGCCGTGCAACTGCAACTACTTGGAAAGTTTGGGTAAAGTCCCCTGATCAGGTGTCGAGATATCTGGCTGGGCAGTGGGCCTGGAAAGTTTTGAAATTTCATTGGTTTTCAAGTTTAATAAACAGGTAACGAACAGTGTTTTACGTAGAGAAGTTTCACCAATACAATGATAAAGCCTCACCGCTTAGGATATATACTGCCATAGTACTTACTGGGCCGGGCCGCGCTCAGCCTGTCAATCCGCCTAATCTCTATATGTTAATGAACATAATAGCCTGGGGTCCTCAGGTAACCATAGTGCATATTATATATCACTAGAAACCCGCTATGCGCTAGTCGAAAGCTTTGTTCGAGGAAATTTTAAAAATCAGTTATGTTTTAATTTCTCTTCATCATACAGCTCTGTTATACAGTAGACATAATGGAATTTATTTAACAATGGCGACAGCGTTGTTAGTATCAAGTATTCGGATTCCCAAAACGATACTTTTTACCGCATCAAAAAATACCAATCACAACCAAAGTTATGAATATAAGTCATAGCGTGAGCGTAAATGTGAGCTAGTTTTGAAGTTATGACGTAGCATACAGCATAACAACGCGCGTAGTTAAGATGTTCTTGCTCGCGCACGTGCATTTTTATCGTTGCTACGCAACAGCGCAGTAAACCTTTGCTAAAATAACGCCATTATTCTAACGATTATTTAACCTCACTTCCGACGTTAATTATAAAAAATCTAAAGCCTAAATCAAAATTCTAAGAATGCTATACACTATAGCCTATTCTTATCCTTTTTCTACAACCCTGCTTAAAATGGCGAGGTTTCAACTCCGTTTGCGAGCTGGATTTAGCTTCACCAGAGGGTCATTTTGAGGTCGATTTTTGGTGTTTTTTCTTCTATGATATGTCCCCGTTGCCGGGGAAATTTCGTCAAGTTTTAAATATTGTATAGATTATCAGGCTTGTGCACCAATTGGTGTTTATTAAAGGTAAATTTCAAATTTCAATATTTGTAAGTTTATAACCTACTAAGACGCACGTTGTCATACGTTGTATGACCCGCCGCGCACGAGTGCGCGGCTCCCCTGTATCGTAAGAACCTAGTTAAAACGAGCTAGTTAAAACGACCGTGGGGCCGGGGTCACTTGCATCACGTTTGACGTTGCGACCCCCACGGTCGTTTCACTATGGTCCTTTATCGTCCTGACGATACAGGGGGAGCCGCGCACTTCGTGCGCGGCGGGTCATACAACGTATGACAATGAATTACACTGTCATAAAAACGCTCAAACATGTGATAAAATTATCAAAACATTCAATTTAAATAAAACTGTGAATTTAACTGTAATGAATAAAAACTGTGAATAAAAACTGTGGTGAATTACCACTTTTAAGATTTCTTGAAATTACTCTCCCCGTTTCTCACTCTCTCAGATCGCCTTAACAGAACGTTTACCGGGTCGGAAACGCTATTAGGAGTAATGGTTGATTCCTCGATATTCTCTGGTGAACAGTTGGACGCGCGGACGTTTTACCAGTTCTGTTAGGGTTTCCTGTGAAGTTCTGTCCGTGGTTCCCAGTCCTTTTCTTAGCATGTAATTGTCGAGTTTCTTCTCTTTCTCAACATCTGCATTTCTGTCCCTAAGATTCTGCTGCTCTTCATCATTAATAGGCTGTTTTTCAGGTTGATTACTGGATCGATTCTCTTCTTTAAATGATCAACGTGTTTTTTCACGATCCGATTTTTGTATGATACATCATACAATGGAGCATTCGGGTATTCTTTAGAGATTGTTGCAGGGTACCACACTTTGTTGTCGTTGATCTGAACCCATACTGGCTCAGCTTTTTCGAACTTCTTTGCAGATGGCTTCGCTTCCAAAATCTTTTCCTCGCGTTCTGGGTGAAGACCCTCCATAATCTGTCTGTCAGATGGTCGCAGCTGGTGTAATCTACTTCGTAGTGTTCGGTTGAACAACTGCACGGCAGGAGCTATCCCAGTTACAGTAAATTTAGGCTTAAAAGAATTCAGGGAAGAGTACATCAGAGAAAAAGTCGAAAAATGGATAGTTGATATTGATCAACTAGCAGATGTAGCGACGGAAGAACCACAACTGGCTTATATTATTCGGCCTTTACTAAAGGAATATGCCACAGATGGAGATACTACATGCGTACTATACCAGACATTGGAGAGCACTTTGTCCCACTAGAGAGCAAGATCATGCATGTGCTCATTCCAGCCCTCCTCGGTCGCCCTGTCAACCAGCATGAAAGAGATATCCTTGAACTCCCTGTTCGATGTGGAGGCCTAGGTATCATCAATCCCGTCAGGATAGCATCTCGTGAATATGCATTCTCAGTGGCACTCACTAAAGATCTTGTGAGTTTAATCAACCAACAAGACCAGGACATCACCAAGCTGGATATGGGCAAGATGAAAGAAAAGAAAGAAGAACTGAGAAAACAGAAAGATGAGTTTCTATAACAAAGGTTCAAGATGCTTTATAATGGGTCAGATCATCTTCTTAAGAACCACTTAAACCAAGCAAGAGAGAAGGGAGCATCAACATGGCTTTCAGCATTACCTCTAAAGGACCTCAACTATGTTCTAAACAAGCAAGAGTTCCAAGACAGCATACGCCTACGCTATGGATGGAAGATCCAAGGAGTGCCCTCTAAATGTGCTTGCGGACATGCAAACAGTGTCTACCACTCCCTTGATTGTAAATTAGGTGGATACGTTTGCATGTGCCACAATGCCATCAGAGACACTGCAGCTTTCTTCCTTCAAGAAGCAAAGTGTAAGGATGTAAGGATAGAACCTGCACTCCTACCTGTCCAACCAACTTCATTCTCCAGGAAGACCAACACCCAGGATGAAGCCCGTCTGGACGTAGCAGCTGTTGGACTGTATGCACCATTCGAAAGAACATTCTTTGACATCAGGGTCACTCATCCTAATTGCGACTCCAATACATTTAAGCCACTAGATAAAATCTACAGTGCGCATGAGAAAGAGAAGAAAGATCTATATGAGGAGAGAGTACTTCAGTCAGAGAAAGGGTCCTTTGTCCCACTAGTCTTTACAACATCCGGAGGTATGGGCCCACTCTGCACTGTGTTTGTAGATCGTATTTCTGAAAGGATAGCTGACCACAATAAAGAAGCTAAGAGCCAGGTCAAAAATCACATCAGAACACGATTCAGGTTTGATCTGCTACGAAGCACACTCATAGCACTCAGGGGAATCAGAGGAAGTCAAAAAGCCCAGCACCTTGGACTGGATGACGTATCCTTCAATCTCATTCTTCAGAAGACGAGCTTTGAGGTCTCTTAAGTTTGTTTATGTAAATTTTATAGATAATTTATTGTAGCTTTTATAATGTGTAAAATTTTACGGACGAAATGATCCCAGGGGGACTCCCAACCCACCGCCTCGGTGGGTAGTTGATACACCCTTCACAAGCAAGAGCCACTTTGGTCTACTTGCTGTGAGGTGTATCAGCTACATGGGTTGGGGGTCCCCCCTTTTTTTTTCTTTTTTTTTTTTTTGTAAATTTAGGAGTGTTTCTATAATTGATTAGAAACTTGGCGTTGTTCAAATCCAGGTCCTTGCAGGTCTCGTACGTCTTTTTCATTGAACTTTCCACGTCCCAACTAATCATTCAACACATCCATTTGATTTTGGACTGTATGTCGGTGAGTAAATGTGTTTAATTCTGTTACTTTGAGCGAAAAGTTTGAACTCATAACTTGTATACTGTGGTCTGTTGTCACTTACCAAAGTGAAGGGTAGACCAAATCGACTAAAAATGTCTCTCAAAACACGAATAGTGTCTGCTGTTTTGGTCTGGTCCATTTTGATGATTTCGGGCCACTTGGTAAAACTGTCAAACAACAACAACCAATGTTTGTCCCGAAATTGAGCAAAATCCACATGGATCCTCTGCCACCGTTGGGTAGGTCGAATCCACGGATGATCTTTAGTCTTTGATAGACTTCTTGCAAACTTGTTGCAAGCTTCACAGGTCTTGGCCACTTGATCGATATCCCGAGAGACTTAGGAAATTAGCTGTCGGTTCTTAGTACCTGAAATCTTTTAATTAATTTTTTTTAAAGCATAGCATTGTGAGACCTTTTTAAACAGATATTATAGCTGTGCATAACAATTCTTTAGGTAACATTTGAGCTCCATTCTGTTGAAAATTGATGGGTGAGCCCAATATGATTGCTGAGGGCTTTTTAGTAAATTTTAAATTTCTCATTTTTCACACTTGAACTGGGAGTTGAACCCATACTCTTGCAATATGACCCAAATAATCAAACTTAATTAAAACTCTCCCTTTAGTTATGTGATGCGTACCCCAACGTTAATGGAATTTCTCAAAGTAAGTTTACATCTAGTCTTTAGATCTTTTTGGCCAAGGCTAATTGTTGGTGTTTTTGATTTTAATATGGAAGATGTTTTTCAAATTCTTTCTTGAATGCAAGCACTCTTTATTTAATTATATTTAATTATGTTATTTATGTTTAATTGTGTTTAATTAATTTTAATTATGTTTAATTATGTTTAATTATGTTTAATTATGTATATCATTACATCTTATTTCTTATTCAGATTTTTGTGTGGACTAACAAATGGATGACGACAAAGGTTCTGGAGAGCCTTCAATAAGACGATCTAAAAGGTTTCAAGCTTATTTTTAATATTTAGCATGTCAATGATATTTGTCTTACTATATATATAAAGCGATAACTTTTTCAATTGTCAATAATCAACGAATTGTTAACTTTGTGGATAAATAAGTGGAAAGCAGCTCCCTTCTGAAAATCATAAAATCTCCAATATTTTGCTACTGTAGATGGAAATTCCCTAATTTTAACGCATTTTTAAACATAATACTTGACTTGATTGATGAGATTTGCAAAAGTATACTTACGTTAGTCCATAAATCGTAAACTCATCAACTAAGTGATGTCGATGCGAGTATACACAATTAACAGCAACAAATTAATAATTAATTATAGTACATTTCAATTTTAGTAAATTCAATTTTAGTAATTTCAATTTTAGTAATTTCAATTTTAGTAATTTCAATTTTAGTAATTTCAATTCCAGACTTGAGGATCGTAGCAGGATCCCATCGGAGGACACTCCTGATAAAAAAGGAAAGAAAAGGTAACTAAAACTCATATTTTTCTATATCTAAATTTTTTTCGATTTTAAATTGGATCAATTAAAATCTACACTATGCTCACTCCTAATTAATATTAGTTGAGAACTTTGTAGTATGATACGAAACAGTCACTTATGTCAATTAAAATTCAACTAAAACATTTAAAAGTCGATTAGGAAGTTATATTAGGAAGTTATATCGGGTTATATTAGGAGCATAGTAACTTCAAGATTCGGATTATTTAAACTGTTTGGATGACATAACAGTAACAGCCTGCCAAATTTCCGATTTTAACAAGTTGACACAGTCAATGTCATGAGATATATTAAAATTGAAGTTTGGCACAGCTCTAAAGAAATAACTAACTCTAAAGAAAAAACTAACTAAACAATCTTAACTTGACCCAGTTCCAACGAAATACATCAACAATTTGGCACAGTATGAGTCGAATATTTTAATTTGGTACTTTCCAGGAAGGTATCCAGCACCCCCTCGCCGGAGTGCCAGTCCAAATACAAGCTCCGAAAGTTCTTGGTAAGTTACATGTTTGTTGTCAAGTTAATAATTTATAACTCAACTATTTGCGGAATTGGGAGTTGTTAAGCTTCCGAACATTACTGAGTCACTGTTTTGCTAATTTCATTGACATGTACAGTTGCGTGCTGCGTTACGTGTAGATTTTACGTTTGAGTAGGAAATATTTCCAAATGAATAGCTTGAATTCCTTGACAACAACATTTCTTTTGGCTTTTAAAACCGATATAATACATGATTTGGCTTACGCCTTACTTTATTAAACGGTAATTGTCAGCTGATACTCATATTGCTTACTTTTTCAGCGTTCAACTTCGCCTTCTTTTCCGTCTACATCTAGGGCCGGTGAGTTCATATTGTAACAGTTGCTATGGTAACACCTTTCAGTTGCTATGGTAACACCTTTCAGTTGCTATGGTAACACCTTTCATGTAATCCTCGCCCTGCAATGTGCACAGTACTATGTTTTATAGCGTTGAAATACTTTTCAATCGATATTTTATTCTAGAATTCTCGCATGGTAATTATCTTTTATCTCAATGTTAGAAGTTATCCACTATTCTATATTATATTCAACTCATCGTATAAGTAAATTGAGCAGTATCACAATCTTTCTCTCTAAATATTAAACGTCCCTTCCGTTACCGAGCCGCTCTAGAATTATAAGTGTGAACCAGTACACATCTTGAGAAGGTCTCGGGACAGCTTGCTTTACAAAACAAGCCAAACTGAAGTAGTTTTAAATGAGAGAGTCTGCCTGATGGGTTCAGCCACGTCATTTATTCAATATTAGAATATTATAATTTGAAGCCTTGAAATTAACGAGTTTTACACACTAAAGCATCCCCGACCCCGGCTATCTCAAGCACAACGACCCCGGTTATCTCAAGCACCTTGACCCCGGCTATCTCAAGCACACCGACCCCGGCTATCTCAAGCACCCCCGACCCCGGTTATCTCAAGTACCCCGACCCCGGCTATCTCAAGCACCCCGACCCCGGCTATCTCAAGTACCCCGACCCCGGCTATCTCAAGTACCCCGACCCCGGTTATCTCAAGTACCCCGACCCCGGCTATCTCAAGCACCCCGACCCCGGCTATCTCAAGCACCCCGACCCCGGCTATCTCAAGTACCCCGACCCCGGCTATCTCAAGCACCCCGACCCCGGCTATCTCAAGTACCCCGACCCCGGCTATCTCAAGCACCCCGACCCCGGCTATCTCAAGCACACCGACCCCGGCTATCTCAAGTACCCCGACCCCGGCTATCTCAAGCACCCCGACCCCGGCTATCTCAAGTACCCCGACCCCGGCTATCTCAAGCACACCGACCCCGGCTATCTCAAGCACCCCCGACCCCGGCTATCTCAAGCACCCCGACCCCGGCTATCTCAAGCACCCCGACCCCGGCTATCTCAAGTACCCCGACCCCGGCTATCTCAAGTACCCCGACCCCGGCTATCTCAAGTACCCCGACCCCGGCTATCTCAAGCACCCCGACCCCGGCTATCTCAAGTACCCCGACCCCGGCTATCTCAAGCAGACCGACCCCGGCTATCTCCAGCACCCCCGACCCCGGCTATCTCAAGCACCCCGACCCGGCTATCTCAAGTACCCCGACCCCGGCTATCATCCTGCCACACCCTTACAAAATACCCAGAGAACGTGTCATGAGCCCAGTAACTCTACCTGAGCTCTCTCCACACAACAGAGTCCAGTACGTCAATATAGTAGTGCTTTAATAGCACATTGTTGACATGTGTGTCACTGTTTACACGTTAGTTGCACTCTCCCTCTCTCTCTCTCTCTCTTGTTAGTCGTGATATCTTTTAGGGTGGTTACTCTTTCTCTGGTAGTTAATACACCTGGTGTGTGTTGGTACGACCATATTTGGGCATGATACTGAGAACATTTGGTGTACTTTGTTTGCTTTTTTGCCTAGTTTTGACTTGTCACCAAATATGGAGATAACGATATATGACTCGTTAGCTTAATTTAGTTATCATCAGAAATTTGTCTGCAGTTTTTACGAAAGCATTTCTTTTGGAGCATTAGAACTTGTTGTTACCGATATGTTTGTCTTGCTAATGGCAGTACCATCTCTTTTACCACAACCTCACCATTATCCTATATTATATCTGTCTTGCTAATGGCGGGGGATCATACACTTAGTCACGTACAGAACGAAGTACCTGATCCCCCCCCCCCCCCCCCGCTAATGGCAGTACCATCTCTCTTATCACAACCTCACCGTTATCCAAACTTACAGCTATTTTAAATGTTACTCTGAGAGACTGGCAAGCATTTCAAACAAGCACGAAGTGTGTCCCTTCTCTCTGATATAGCAGTGCTTGCTTTCCTTTCTGGTGTAGTTTAATTCAGCGCTGCTTGCTTGTTGGTTTGTCTGGTTGGTCTGTTTGTCTGTGTTTTGCACTTCGTTTTTGTAAGATATTACCGGTATTATGTATTACCGGTTTTAGTTATCAGTTTTTATAACAGATTGTTAATTTAGTAGCAGTGGCCAGTGACTGAATTTTAAAATTGTACTACTCGTTTACTCGTTAGTCAAGTAAAATGTACTAAAAACTGTTGTCTTCAGTTACTAAGTGACCAGTCAAAACATCACGAGACTTCTGTATAGCAAGATATTGTAATGCATGCGGGGTAATCAGAGACCTTATGATTGCTATATAGACCCTACTACACACAGTACAGTGTACACACACAGATATCTAACAATATGTAGCAACCCCTGTCACAATATGTAACAATCCCTGTCACACTATGTAACAATCCCTGTCACACTATGTAACAATCCCTGTCACAATATGTAACAATCCCTGTCACAATATGTAACAATCCCTGTCACAATATGTAACAATCCCCGTCACACTATGTAACACTCTATGTAACAGTCCCTGTATTATTACATTTGCACGTCACACAACTCATAACACATTGTACCGCGAGGTGACCAGTAAGTTGGCGTGTACATTTAAGTGTAAATTAATGCCTTTATAGCTTCATGTGTCCACTGTGGGTGTCATCTGTTTTAATACAATTAAATGTACTGTTTTCGCTTTTCACTGCGTTAGTGTTAACAACTTGCCGGTTTGTTTAACTGATTTTGCTGATGTGTTTTTCTGGGTGTTTTTCTTGGTGTTATACATCTGTAATCCGTTATGAGTTCTGCTATCACCATGCCATTGCTATGTTCCTCTGTTTTGTGTGCTATCACCATTGCTATGTTCCTCTGTTTTATGTGCTATCACCATTGCTATGTTCCTCTGTTTTATGTGCTTCTCTAAGATTATAATTCTTTTTGTTTCGTTATGGGCTCAAGTTCCTGTGTACACTAACCCACGATTTATACTGACCACACACCCATGAATTATTACACAGCTGCACTGCTGTAAACGACACAGCACAGACCACCCTATATAGTATACTACTGAGTAGTGTACTACTACTGTAATTTACTACTGAGTACTGTAAAACATCAGAAGATCTGGTTTGGGGAGAGGTACCAGATTATGTGCTATATTTAACTTTATACTGGTTACTTAATAAGAGCTATTGAGTATTGATAAGCCTAGCAATATAATGACTTTTAAAACGATAGGTTAACAACCCGGTATAAAATCTTATTATATATCATAATCACAAAATGACGTAAAGAATCTATAATATCGATATGTACTGTGATTTCCCTCTAGTTTATATAAAATTCGATCGTGCATAATCAATTCAAACTTCAAAAAATTCACAAATACAGCTCCCGTCATTTCGACTTCAGTTATAAAACATATAATCAGTCCCAATACATCACCCATGATTCCATGTAGCTACATCAAAAGTACTTTGGTCTATTCCTTCTCGGTCTGAGTTCATATCTTCTCCTCGTATCACTTTCGTTTACACCCCGCTCTATGTCAGCAAGAGACTAGTAGCAGGGACGGGTTGAGTGTGCACTTCAGTGTACAGAGTTTTTTGCTACTGGATCGGGTTACCCCTCCCTGCTACTGGAGTAAGAGAAAATCCTCTGCTATCCACTTCACCAAGGTTCATACTTCCCCCTCTGCTCGACCAAGGAGGTGTAACTGGAACCATTGTTATGATATTGACTTAAATCCAGTGCATCATAAAAATATCCGGTTGTATTTGCACTCATGTCCGATCGTGTGTCTCCTTAATGGCTCGGTACATCGTTAAGCGATGAGTTTACTATCGTTTCATCCAATCCTCGTTCCTTCATTGCTAATCAGCAAACCTACAACTCCAGCACCGACAGTATCACCATTTGAATCTACCAAGCTTAACACTGAACATTCATGAGCAGTGCAAGTCCTTGTTCTGGTTTGGGTACCTTCTCCACAATAAACTGAACATTCTGACTATTCTCCAAAATCAGTGTTTCAACCTCCGTCGACAACTCCTTCACATTGTAGAAACACATCTTTTCCATGACTACAATTTTCATCTAATGAAAACGAACATGAACTCCATTCACCACTGCTACAAGCAACATCGTCTAGGTTTATTTCGAGCCCCGCTTGAATGCCTCAGTTATCACTGGATGACCAGCTCATTTGACCATTGTGTCCCATTTCACGACAAATATTATCAGCTGAGTTATCACTGAAATAATCGTCACAAACTGTTCCTCCATTGATAAAATGGTATTTCCCCCAATAGGTGATACTGAGACTTTGTGGTTTAGAAGACGTAAAACTCGTTTAAATAGGGTGTTCAATAAATGGTATGTATGAACTGTACAATAGGAATATGGGTACAAAACATGTCCCATAAAAAAGTAAACAATCCAATAAATTTTCATATATATATAGGCCCTATTGCCATTAGGGACTAGCTCCTCGTGATCTCTCAGCTGTGTCAGCTTCCTCTTATCTCCTCTTATCTCTTCGTCATCGTTCCCGGTCCTTCCATACTCCTCATCTCCTCATTGTCACGTGGTTGACAATACCCAACCAGAGAAGTTGCTGTGTATCACCGGATCTTAACTCCATTATAAGTGTTAAACTAAGTTAGTTCTGTAAGTTAGCTTGGAAATCCTAGATAATTTACTGTACAATACTGGGCATCTGTTCGCAATGAGATTATGTTGTCTCATATTTCAACGTTAAATTTTTGATGTGGAACTGCAACTGCCTAAATGACCATACAACACTAGTAGCTGTTTTGAACTGGTTACTGGTTAGTTCGGAACTGTATCAAACTTTATACCAGTCAGCTATAATCACCTTGACTTACTTGACTTGACTTAAGGCGGGTAGTATTCCCGAGATCCATCGACAACAGATCTCCACAGCTTTCTGTCTTCCATC